CTACTTCAGACGCCATAGAACTTTCACCAAAAACCACCGAAAAACGATCATTTATAACAGCCACCGGTTATTCGTACAATACTTACTTAGAAGTAGCTTAAACTATATGTATTAACATTCTCAAGTCTAATATGCACTCAATATTTTACTATTTTACATTTGGGACTCATCTGAAAAATGTGTATGAAATATACGAGGACCAATAAGACTTGAGAATGCTAAAGTTGTTTATCAAGAACCTATATTCGAGTGTAACTCGGCCTTATTACACAAGAAATTATTATTAATAACATATTATGATGACGTTATAAAAATATAATAATATGAAAAAATATTCATTACAACTGCACAAAACATAATAAGAATAGTCAACAATCCATAATGATGAATTCGATAGTTACCTATTTAGGTAGCTATCAAATACATTTGTATTTTACAGGTTAATTTCTTGCCATTTCTAATGAAATAAATATGGAAAGTAACTCTTTTATAGCTATTTGGCTAAATTATATTTATTCGGTGACCACAAGTGTGTGACAAAGACTAGCTATGTTACTATGTAGACTAAGTTCTGGCGTTTGCCAATCAATTCATCACCGGATCGGCATCGCATCGCATCGCCTGGCATACTTACAGATAGAACATATTTCAATCAGTACAAGCAATTACTTGCTGTATGATATGTGTAAATCTTTGGTAGAAATGTACTTTTTTTAAGTTAAGGTGACTGCTACCTGCGGCATGTGATATTCATTTTAAACTCGGGCCGATATGTTCCCGGATTGAGGTCCTGTGACATTTTTGAATGAGTATGAGACCACGGCTCTCTACGTTACATCATGCATGCTTAGCGAATGTGTTCATATTGCTCATGAGGCGATACGATGAGTTTCCGATTCGGCGCAGANATTCCAGTGTTGATGTGTGTATCAATCATAATACATCACGTACGGCAAGTCAGATATGAAATTGCCAACAATAATAAAATTATAATAAGTTACCCTATACCTAAGCTTGAAACAAACTGGGGACCGTCGCACCGTATGAAAACCTCAAACAGCGCGCTAATAAAACGACAGCTCCTAGCACTTACTAAATAACATGCACGCACGAGCATTACAAAGCACTAATAAAACAGACGAAAAATATTTTACACCTTTCAATCGATATAATAAGGTTCATTTTTACAAAGCCAATAAATTTTAATGACAAAAGTATAGCTTATATGAGGAAGTTGGTAAGGGACACTTAAATTAATGTGAGATATGACAAGTCATTATGAAATTATACATAATAATAATTGTACAATCGAAACAAGGTACAATTTATACAATTCTACAATCAGTTTCAATTTGCTATACGTTATGTTTTTGTAAATAAATATTTTAGAACTCTTTGAATATTTAGGAATCATTTTCATAAATATTTATTTTCATAAATAATTTGTTTCGAAGCGTTTTATTTTATAATATGGCGTAGCGTTTCAACTATAATAATTACCTTAAATTCTCGTATGCCGCAGCTTCTTCATTATGCCTATTACGTCTCTTATACTACATTCCATCATTACAGCTACATTGATTATACTTGGATTTTAATCGTCAAATGTTGGTGTCGGTTCTGAGATTTTGTCTTTTGGTTTTTTCTTATCAGCATAGAATTATAGTGTGTAATAAGTTTTTGAAATTACTTGTATTGAATACGTTACATGTCTCATATCAGCAATCATCAATATTGATGCGATAATGCATGGAAATAGCACTGCACGTATCAGCTTGAATCTATTCTTTGATGGCGTAACCTCATTTTATGCAACACCCTTGAAACTAAATCTATTAATCGTCTACATAAATATTAAACCACTGGACGGGAATCAAGAAACATATCGATACTATCCAATTTAAAAATATTTTTTAATCCTAACCAACTTACTGAGCAAGTAACCGGCCAAATATAAAGAGATCTGATGCGATCGTCGCGCGTAAAAAATCTCAGCTATGCGATCGACGACAGGTATTTTGAAATTAGTGGTTTGTAGTATAATATCATTTGAAGAACAAAGTACATAAAAAGAAAATAAATTTCATAAAGCACCGTTTTTACTGAAACGCTATTTTGCTTTTATTTATCTCAGTAAAACCTAAATTCGACAATAAGGGTATTAGCCATTAAAAAGGGGTTTTAGGTGTCATTAATAAGTTTGTTTTTAAACAAAGATTTTTAGTTACATATACATAACAGTAGTAAGGATACTGACTCGAGTATATTTTGACTAAGCTAGCGAGAACCTATTACATTTTTCTTATACGGAATATGCCACTAAAATGATTAACATTTATTTTTACAAATCATACAGGTGACTTTTATTACATTTTCACGTTTACCATAGTTTTATAACTTTCACGAACACTCACATAACGTACATTAGGTAACCAGTTACCACGTGAACTAAAATATGCTACGACCAATAACATCTATCTTTAGCCTCTAATTTTATTGCAGACATTTATATTTTTCTCACTCAATACACATTTAGATATCCAAGTATTAAATTATAACTATTGTTTTGTGTAGATTAAAATACTTTAATTATATTAACAGGTGTTTCTATTTGTGTGTCTAAATAACAGTGTGATGTGGCAGCAATGAGGACTACCGCGTTTGTGATCACCAGTTGGCGCTACTATAGCGTGACAGAATTTTATTCGCTAGTGGCGCCAGCTGGTGAGCAAAAATGCGATGGACCTAATGAGGGTTTTCGCGAATGAAAAATCCGCCAGATGGCAATACGTAGACGCGAGGTCCAAATGCTGCATGATTGGTTATTTTTGACATGACATTGACAGATATGTCAAAATCCATCAATCACGCAGCAGTCAGACCCCACATCGACGTCCCGCCATCTAGCGGATCTTTCATTCGCGAAAACCCTCATTGAACTAAACCGAATTTAACTAACAAATGACGATCGCTCGCACACAACTTATATCAAAGGGAAGGTGAATTGGGTATTTGACACCATTTCCCAATAATTCTAAAGCACAGCTTTTATAAAAAGACACTTCTTTCTGGTCTTAAAAACTTAATTAATTTTTAATTACCTGTAAATTACGATTTTTGGTTGCATTATAATTGAAAAAAGTATTTTCATTGAGTTGATAAAATTGTGACGTCACATGCTAGTATTGCCGTACAAAATCTATGGGAGAGTGTCGTTTTGACAGTTTTAAAAAGTACGTCAATTGATTGGTGGTGTCAAATACCCTATTGTGGTATTTTCTACTACGATGTTATTTGATAACATACCCTGATTTTTACGTGCGAATTATCAACTTGAATTGACAGTGTGGTATAAAAAAATTAGAATCAAAGTCGTTGGTCAGATGAATCTTGTCAATTTCTAGATAGTATTGTAATCGTAAGTATATTGCATCTACTTTGTGGTTTAGGCACAGTGCTATTAATAATTTAACGCTACGTTTTTCTGTAATATTTACCACGCGATATTCATACAGGTTCATTCATTAAATCGATAAATAACAAACAAATACGGCTACATCAATTCCAAGGCGAGAATCTAGAATAGTATTCAGTCGGCGGCCGATCTACATTAAAAATAATCTTAGTGTATCTAAGTCGACGACAGTATGATGATTGAATGACCGTCACAAGTACGCTCAATCCTCAATGGATTTTGAATCTTAACACTGCGACATAAATTCCATCGGAGTTATTCGTAGGGTTAAGCTTTGAAATTTTACAGACGACGGCAAATCAAACTAAACACTGTGATATCATCATCATCATCATTTCAGCCATAGGACGTCCACTGTCCACAATGGCCGGTTGGTGGCGGCCTGCATCCGGCGCCTTCCTGCTACCTTTATGAGGTCGTCAGTCCACCTTGTGGTTGCTGTGATATTTTATGCAGTTGTAATAGCTGCTATTGCAAAAAATGTTTAGTCTGATGTGCTTGACGACTGGTATGTCTTTTCGAAAAGTCGATAGTTTGCATAACAACTTCACCGTGATAATAAATCTGGAGTTTCCAAAAATTCACTGACCTCAATATATCGGTCAGCATTACGCACTACTTTCACTTATTAGAACATTATTTTTTATTACGTAGATAAGGTTACGTTGACAACCGTGTTTATCAGTTACAATTATTATTTAAATGAAATGTAATGCAAATAAATGATTTGATTTGAAATAAGCATGTTTCAATGTCCTCCCAATGAGAACTATAACATCAGTCAGATACATATTTTGAAAAGGTGCTAAATTATGGTACTGTATTTTTTAAACGGTATTTTTGTCATTTCGTTTGGTGATAATTGTTTTTAAGTGCATAATCTTTTAGGATATTTATTTTTACTAAAAGTAACGTATTGTACAATTTGTAACTCAGGCACAACCTCGACAGTACATTTTTATGGAAATTAGATTGACGTGGATTTTTTTTATATTACTGCAATTTTGAAGTGTTGGCGCGTAACGTAAACTTCAACAAATAGTTTTGAGAATTATTTTTTACACTTTTCTTGCATTTTTTGAGAAATGATATTTTTATGTTTTCAAGAAAAGATTTTTTAACAAATTGTTTCAAGTACTTGAAAAGTCATCTAAACGTTTCGTATACATAAACCACTACGGGTTTTATCAAGACATTAGATAATTTAAAATTTTTGTGACGTTAAAAATTGAAAGCATTTATCAGAATTACGAATGGACAGCAAAAATTGAGGGTTATTATTCGATATTATAAAAGTTTTATTTACATAGATATTAATCGTTAATAACGTTTGAGATAACATTCAGTTTTGTGAGATTTGGCAGTGTTACATTAAATATATTTAGAAATAAAATAACAATATTTATTTATAAACGTTGTATACATAGACGAAACTTGATTATTAACGATCATTTTGAAAGAAGTGATTTAAGACGGAGGCGCCGCTTTTATTTTTTTATAAATTTTGAGATGACTAGGATTCTTGATGGTATACAACGCCAGTTAGCACATTGTGATTATTTTACGGATGGCAAGAACATATTTTTGTTTTTACGATAAAAGTATTTACGGGTTTCACACTATCAATATGAGGTTCACATCACGATTGTCTATATTCTATATCAACACGGCCGGGTCCACACGTCGTCGGCGGCGTCGTCTCCCACGATCCGGCATCGGCGATCTTCACCGGTCGACGCGTCACGATCGCATCGGACGGCCGGAGAATACGGCGGCGTCACAAAACAAAACACGGCGACACAGAAACGTTCACACGTACCGACACACGCTGCACCAGGAGCACGAGCAGCCGGCGCGGGCGCGTCACGAGCCGCGCGAGCGTTGGCCGAGCGCGTTAAAGATATTCGGCTCGCATCACAGGGGCAGGTGCGTGTGTGGCACGGCGGGCGCGTGTGGATGCAGCTGGAGCGCGGCGGCGGCAGCGTCGGCGGCCGCGCCCGCCTCGCCCAGCGCCGCCAGCACCAGCGCCAGCCGCCGCCACGTGTCGGCGCGCCCGGGCTCTAACGCCGCCGCTTCACGTAACGATTTCTCCGCTAGTCGCAGCCAGCCCAGGTTGTAGTATGCCGCACCTGACGACGTATATTAAAGCATATGTATGAGCATATTTTATTCCCGTCACGACTTCTGTGTGACGAGGAATGACGGCTCGACGACAACAAAATCAGTAAAGATAAAAAGTCCAATGACCGTCCGCAAAGAAATTAATCAGAAGAAAAATAGGAAGAGTTCGAACTTAAGGCTGGTTTTAGAGTCACGCTGACGCACGCTGACCGTCAGCGCTGACAGCCGAAATGTTCTGTCAGCGCCGACGATCAGCGAGCGGTCAATGCGATTCTAAAACCCGCCTAAGAATCGACTCGCTTTCCGTACCGAATGGATGACACAGAGCAGATAACATACTACAATAGGTTTTGGGAAAAGATATTCACTGCGGACAGTAACCTTTTACAATGAAAACTGAATCAATTAATACAGGCCGTATTAGGAAAAAAAAATTGGCACTACAAAATACACATGTTGACTTCTTGGCGGGAATCTGAAGCGTCATGTTAGCGGTTTTGTTTTATTTCCTCAAATTCGTGTTTGGGCGACTATTAATGTGTAATAATGGTGGATTATTAACCATTAAGTGTTCGTGAACGTGCATGAGTGTGGGCAAGTGAAGCAGGACAGTGCATCGTGATTCTTCTGGTTCTCTCAAGTTGTCCATAGGAGGTCTCAGTAAAGCACCACAACTTTACTGAGACTCAAAGGGTGAGAAGGGGTTTCATCTATCATCCTTCATTATATCATTACTTGATCTCATTTTGTAACTCGTATCACCAGGCCTGTTCATCTCCGCGAGTTTACATCGAAAACAAAACACGCACGATGGCCCACCTACAGGATACTATTCGACAAGGCTTCACATACGAGCGAACATTGACTTACGCACGCGTATTCTTGTGTATAGTGGAAGAAAATGGTGTACTAAATACTGTGCAGTATTTAACTGCTTAAAAAATAATAAAAACACAGAATGTACTTTTTTAAGTTGCCTCAAGACACTGAGAGGTAAATAAGTAGTTAATATTATTCATGATTTTATACGCAGTTTGGCACCTCACGTCACATCATTTTACCGAAGTCAGCCCTATAGCTTCGGCGCAGTACCGATCACTGACGTTTGTCAACAAAACTTCTGACAAACTTGCTTGACTCTTGAGACAAGCTAAATTACACCATATTGTTAATGACATTGAGCATACATTTTTTTAAATACCTTCGCGAAGTAAAACTTCTGTACGTAGTACTTATTATTATTCTGTGGTATCACCTATAAACTTGAAAATGGCACAAACCAAGTCGACTTCGACGTGTATTGCCAACATCATCAAAAAAGAAGAAGAATACACATGTCATGTCAGAGTGGGTGAGACTGACCTAGCTCGACGATGCTGTCGAGGTGCGTGGGGTGTATGGCGAGCGCGTTCTGGAAGCACTGCCGCGCCTCCTGCCACTCGCCGCTCGCCGCGTGCACTCGCCCGCGCTGCACGTGAAAACATATAGTATAATAGTAGAATAACGCTCTAACTTGATGATTTGCTTTGATTTATTGATATTGATAGTATACGAGTACACGCCGTAGCGGTTGATTGTGCACTGATTTGATGGATGAAAAGTGATACAATTAGGGTGAAAATGCTGATGGCGCGGAATGTGCGATCAAGACCTGTACGGTCTTGATCGCACATTCCGCGCCATCAGCATCATTCGCTCGTATTCACAAACGATGCTTGCTTATGTGAAGCAGCAAATCGAACGCACAGCGTTGAATAGAGCTCTGTGATTGGTTCATCTTATCACCCAGTGCATTCGTGCACACTGTGAGACCTCATAGTAATGTTTGTGAATACTGGCGTAACCAAAAACATTGAGAAAAGAACAAGAAAACTAATTTAAAAGATATGGGTACTCACGGTGTATAAAACTAAATGACTAAAGGGTGTGAGCGCCGCCGCTTCGCTGACACAGCCCGCCGCCGCGCTCACTCGACCTAACCTGAAATGTAATAATAATGTTCAGTTTTTTATTCAACGTCCCGTAGCACGTCATCAAAAGAAGGCTCAAGGTTAGCCAAAAGGCAGACTCGGAGTTTCTCTGCGTGAAATGAAGAGATTCGTAGAAAAACCAAAATACCAACAACTGCAGAATTAGCAAACTAAGTGGCAGGGGGCGGGGCACATAACTCGTAGAGCCGACCACTGAACGTGAANCGCGCCCGGGCTCTAACGCCGCCGCTTCACGTAACGATTTTTCTGCTAGTCGCAGCCAGCCCAGGTTGTAGTATGCCGCGCCTGACGATGTATATTGAAGTATTAGTTACGGAACTAATCTCTTCTTCCATTCCCTTGTGACAAAAGATTGTCTACATGACAGGCTAAGCCTAGCGTAGAAATCTCGATTACTTGAACTGAAGCGTATTAGCATTCGCACCGCTGCGGCTGCGACTTCTGTGTGACCAGGATCGACGGCTTTTGATCGTCGATGAAAATGAGTAAGCTCGAATTTGACCCAGGAGAAAATTAAATATAGTCATTACACCTTTCGCAAAGTATTATATCGGAAGAAAATAAGATAAGGTCGAACTTAAAAATTGACTTTCTTTCCGTGCCAAACTGATAACAAATGACAAATGACAAAGGCATAATATACAATAGGTTTTTAAAAGAAAACACTACAAACAATAAGCTAATCAGGCCTGTAAACAACAACTCTTAAACGAACTGTAATTTAGACTTAAAATCGCGCTACACATGCCAGAAGGGGGTGAGACTGACCTAGCTCGACGATGCTGTCGAGGTGCGTGGGGTGTATGGCGAGCGCGTTCTGGAAGCACTGCCGCGCCTCCTGCCACTCGCCGCTCGCCGCGTGCACTCGCCCGCGCTACACGTAAAACATAGTAGTATAATCATAAAGGTGAATGCGAAAGAGATATAAAATCTATATAGCCTGACCAGGAACATACAAACCCTGGCATAGAGGCGCGTCAATTGCATTTGATAGTGCAACACTGAGTACAGTCGTACCTGTGTTAAATTAATAGGCTAACTTTATGTACCAGGATTCAGGATTACGGGCTAATTTGATATTTTCATAAATTAACGAAAAAATATTATTATAGGTAACCTGGTTTAAATAAATCAAATGAAACCATCAATCGAGCTAGTAGGATTTATTTTATTATTCATCAATAATCAAATTCAGAACTTGAATATTTAACTGCAATGTTTGCTCATGAACGCTTCAAACTCGGTACTTCTTTCCCAATTCCATAAAATTCAACACTTAGAAAGTGACAATTTTTTTTAAAATAGGTAGTTGAAACAAACCACAGCTAATTTTCATAGTGGACTGTACTATGCGATAAACATGTCAGTCAATTTGACAACCTTTGTCGGAAACATTATTCAATGAAAATATTGTCCGAACCCTTAGTATTTCTCTTCGACAAATACTTTAACACATTGTAAACCACTTTTCTTTCACGACTATAAAAAGATTTTAGCAATTTAATTCAGAAAATCAATTGCGCACATTTAAAATAAAGTTTGTTTACACTTTGACAGCAATAGACTGACATGCAAGTTTTCAGTTACTGTTGCCATTAAAATAAATTAGTACCATTAATTTTCCGCAACATGGCGAGGGTTTTTATGTTCCTGGTCAGGCTATACTTAAAATAAATCTGTAGAGAGGTCAATTCTGTACATGAAATATATTTTCAAAATAACTATCAGATGGTGATTAGTGATCGATACTGATGCCAAAAATGCAATCAGTAAAATTTTTGTCTGTCCGTCTGTATGTTCCTTATAGAAACAAAAACTACTTGACGGATTTTAACGAAACTTGGTACAATTATTCTTCATACTCCTGGGAAGGTTATAGTATACTTAGGAATTCCCACGGGAACAGGAATTAGCGGGCATCCTTTTGTATGAAAAATCTAAACCGCTTAAGATAGATAAAGGGGGTATAACGGGATCCACGCGTACGAAGTCGCGGGCGGCCGCTAGTACAGAATAAAACATTTAAAGTAAGAGTACTCACGGTGTATAAAACTAAATGACTAAAGGGTGTGAGCGCCGCCGCTTCGCTGACACAGCCCGCCGCCGCGCTCACTCGACCTAACCTGAAATGTAATAAAAAAATTAAAATTTTTATTCAACGTCTCGTACCACGTTATCAAAAGAAGGCTCAAGGTTAGCCAAATGGCGATGGCGTGGTATGCTCTGGGTTTCCTTGCGTGATCGAATCAGAAATGAGAAGTAACCAACATTGCCCACAGAACTGCCAAATTTAAGTGGCAGGGAGTGGGGCGCACAGCTCATACAGCTGACGGCCAATAGGGTCGAAAAGTACTTGAGTGGTGACCACGGAAGAAGACGTAGCGTGGGCCTCCCACCCGACATCTGATGATGCACAGACGATTAGTCGTAGACGAAAGTCGCAGAAAGTACCTGTAAGCGGGTAGCGCAGTATTGGTCGTCGTGAAAAATCTTTTATCTAGCATTCGTCATTCGGCTGAAACGAACAATTATAATGTCAGCTGTATACGTCAGCCTTGTCCGAGAGCTTTCGCCCAGCCTCGCCCGAATGTCTTGTGAGACAGCCTCACGCGCGAACACGGGAGCGGAGAGCAAGCGAGACAGCAAGATACCCCAAGAGCGAGAGTTCCCCAGTACTGTATTTCGGCCTGGCCTCTCGGCGAGTATGCCGTATACTTAGTCATGGTCATAGTGCGTCGGGTGTGACCTAAGGCAGAGGTCGGCGAGCAGCAGCCAGGCGGCACACTCGCTGTACCTGAGGCAGAGGTCGGCGAGCAGCAGCCAGGCGGCACACTCGCTGTACCTGAGGCAGAGGTCGGCGAGCAGCAGCCAGGCGGCACACTCGCTGTACCTGAGGCAGAGGTCGGCGAGCAGCAGCCAGGCGGCACACTCGCTGTACCTGAGGCAGAGGTCGGCGAGCAGCAGCCAGGCGGCACACTCGCTGTACCTGAGGCAGAGGTCGGCGAGCAGCAGCCAGGCGGCACACTCGCTGTACCTGAGGCAGAGGTCGGCGAGCAGCAGCCAGGCGGCACACTCGCTGTACCTGAGGCAGAGGTCGGCGAGCAGCAGCCAGGCGGCACACTCGCTGTACCTGAGGCAGAGGTCGGCGAGCAGCAGCCAGGCGGCACACTCGCTGTACCTGAGGCAGAGGTCGGCGAGCAGCAGCCAGGCGGCACACTCGCTGTACCTGAGGCAGAGGTCGGCGAGCAGCAGCCAGGCGGCACACTCGCTGTACCTGAGGCAGAGGTCGGCGAGCAGCAGCCAGGCGGCACACTCGCTGTACCTGAGGCAGAGGTCGGCGAGCAGCAGCCAGGCGGCACACTCGCTGTACCTGAGGCAGAGGTCGGCGAGCAGCAGCCAGGCGGCACACTCGCTGTACCTGAGGCAGAGGTCGGCGAGCAGCAGCCAGGCGGCACACTCGCTGTACCTGAGGCAGAGGTCGGCGAGCAGCAGCCAGGCGGCACACTCGCTGTACCTGAGGCAGAGGTCGGCGAGCAGCAGCCAGGCGGCACACTCGCTGTACCTGAGGCAGAGGTCGGCGAGCAGCAGCCAGGCGGCACACTCGCTGTACCTGAGGCAGAGGTCGGCGAGCAGCAGCCAGGCGGCACACTCGCTGTACCTGAGGCAGAGGTCGGCGAGCAGCAGCCAGGCGGCACACTCGCTGTACCTGAGGCAGAGGTCGGCGAGCAGCAGCCAGGCGGCACACTCGCTGTACCTGAGGCAGAGGTCGGCGAGCAGCAGCCAGGCGGCACACTCGCTGTACCTGAGGCAGAGGTCGGCGAGCAGCAGCCAGGCGGCACACTCGCTGTACCTGAGGCAGAGGTCGGCGAGCAGCAGCCAGGCGGCACACTCGCTGTACCTGAGGCAGAGGTCGGCGAGCAGCAGCCAGGCGGCACACTCGCTGTACCTGAGGCAGAGGTCGGCGAGCAGCAGCCAGGCGGCACACTCGCTGTACCTGAGGCAGAGGTCGGCGAGCAGCAGCCAGGCGGCACACTCGCTGTACCTGAGGCAGAGGTTCTCACCGTGGGAGAGCCACGCTTCGGCATGAATGGGCCGGCTCGACTGGAGTGATACCACGGCCTCACAAAAAACCGGCGTGAAGCAGCGCTTGCGCTGTGTTTCGCCGAGTGAGTGAGGATACCGGAGGCCCAATTGGGGGGGAATGGGATTTGAAAGGTTGGTAGCGCACTTGTGACTTCACTGATGTGAAGTACATGGGCGACGACAATTGCTTACCATCAGGTGATCCGTCTGCTCGTTTGCCTCCTATCACATAAAAAAAAAGCAGCCAGGCGGCACACTCGCGGTACCAGACAGCGGTAAAGATTATGAGACATGTAGACGCTCCTTAAGAGCATATGACGATTTGTAAGAACTATTTATTAGTCTAAACAAATAAAGAACGAAGAACGGTCACGCCCCATACAAAAAAAACCCAGACCCGACAGAAACGAGACATACCTCAGCTTTTTTGACACGTCTTAATTAGTTAAATTATATATTTTTTATATTCGAAATCTATGTATAACACCAAAATATTACCCTTTGTTTTTGTTGAGACGTTATACAAAAACTAATACAAAATGCCTATTTATCACCAAAATTGGTATCTAGGTGACCTGGAGATACAACCGGATTATACAGGGTGGTTATACATATGGAACGATAAGTGATCTCACTCGATTATTTCATCTGGGGGCACGGTAGTGACCCCGCCAAGTCGAGCGCGAAGCAAACACTGCCGTACCATCCTTTACTGGAACCATTTCGCCGCATTTTCAGGCCCCTATTTGAGGACCTCTGGATAAGACCAGAACGCAGAAATTTTCGTCATCTAGTAACCTATAATCACATACTTAAAATCCAAAATTTCAAGTCTGTAGGTCATTTAGTTCCGAAGTTAAGCGAAAGCAAAGTTTCGCATTTACGACACTCACTCACTCACTCACTCACTGATGATCATCAAAATAGAACTAGTACTTCCCATAATCTCAGAGAGCTGAAATTTGGTACAGAGTTAGGGTTTAATGGCCACATAAAGGGAAAACTATAAAAACTAGGAAAATCGAAGATCTGCAGTAACACCACCACATTCATAATCAATACTACTCCGGCACCGTGGTGTTCGCCTGTATCGCTCACCGCTAGATGGCGCTAGCACTAGCAAGCGGTGTCCAGATTTTTTTCCTTTCTAGAGGCCCCCGTCGATTAAGTTGAATGTTGTGTAATTTGCATTTCGTTGATTTCGTATATTATATTGTAAGGAAACTATATATTTTTTATATTCGAAATCTATGTATAACACCAAAATATTACCCTTTGTTTTTGTTGAGGCGTTATACAAAAACTAATACAAAATGCCTATTTATCACCAAAATTGGTAAATGTATGTACCTAAATGTCTATTACAGCTGCTATGGACTGTATCTAGGTGACCTGGAGATACAGCCGGATTATACAGGGTGGTTATACATATGGAACGATAAGTGATCTCACTCGATTATTTCTAAACTATACAAGATATCGAAAAACTAGTTACTGATTCTGAAAGTGCTTCACGAGCTCTTTCAAATGGTACCAATAACAGGTTACAGATTATGGAAGCTGGTAACATTGAATTTTTGGATTTTGTAACTTTTCGTTTTCACCCTGTACAATCCGGCTGTATCTCCAGGTCACCTAGATACACTCCATAGCAGCTGTAATAGACATTTAGGTACATATATTTACCAATTTTAGTGATAAACAGGCATTTTGTATTAGTTTTTGTATAACGCCTGAACAAAAACAAAGGGTAATATTTTGGTGTTATACATAGATTTCGAATATAAAAAATATATAATTTAACTAATTAAAACATGACAAAAAAACTGAGGTATGTCTCGTTTCTGTCGGGCCTGGGTCACAGATGGCCGTTCTTCTTTTGACTTTGACTTTGACTTACCTGAGGCAGAGGTCGGCGAGCAGCAGCCAGGCCCGGGCGCGCGGCGCGTGGTGCGCTCGAGGCCGCTGCGCCGACGACGCCGCGTCCGACAGCGCGCGCTCCACGCGGTACACGCCCGCGCTCTCCGCGCGAATGCTCGCTGCGAACAAAACACGATCTAATAAGGTACTTGACACCATTAAGCCTGATGACACAGTGAAATCGAAAGTTGCTGGGCAACTCTCGCATATTTGGATCAAACCTTAACGGCACGGTTACCATCTGAATACCTTGCCATGAGAACCACCCACAAACTGCGCGGTTATCGCGTGTCTAAACTAGGCCTTAGTGTTTGTTCACGTAGGTACGCGCGGGCGCGGGGGCGGGTGCGGGCGCGGGAAACGTTGCGAGCTCGTGTTCACATTAACCACCAGGCGTTCGCGCGAGTGTAACGTACTATCGTTTCTAGCGACAAGTTCAAACTGGTTGAACTTACCTGACGCGGACGTCGCGAGTGAAACGCGCGCGCCGCCGCTAGTTTGACATGAACACACGCAAACATCTTCACGCGTTGAAATTACCGCGCGCGCCAGTCGCTAGCTCGCCCGCTAGTTAGACCGCACGTGCGTTTCGTACGTGAACACTTGGAATCACTACATATGTTTAATATTTCGTCACCGCGCCCGCGAGTCAACGTGAACAAGCACTTAAAGTGTATATCGACGTTGCGCGGTTGCTTCGCGATGCGAGTTTACTCGTTTGAGTGGTAATTCGGCGGCAAGGTAAACGCGTATCCACACCGCGAAACCTCGCAATGTCGACAACGCCTCTAAGAAATAATTTCAAGGCACAACTTCTTTTAAAAATACTTCAAATCTAAATCGAAAATAAAATCTAAATCTTCAAATCTACTCAACAAAGTTAGCAAAAATGCAACGTCATTATTTCTACGAATTATTTGCAAGAAGGTAGTAAAAATGTACAAAAAGCTTTTTTGCCAACAAGTGTTCACATATTGACACACATCTATGACTGGTAGAAGAGTCGATCATTGTCCTCTCTCGAGTCTCTGAAATGACGTCATATTTTACCTGCGTCCCTATTGCTGTGCGTGTCGGCGTGCTGCGAATCCGACAGTGCATCCAGTTCCGTGTAGCCGTTGTGGTCGGCGTCGAGCTCGGCCTCGGCCTCGGCGCTGTTCAGCAGCGACAGCAGCTCCTTGCCTGTCGCCAGCGCCGCCTGCCGACACGAAGGAAAGACTTACTAACGAGGAGAAACTAAGTCGGTGAAATCGACAAACTTAATTTATTTATTTTAATTTTATTTATTTTAGGATGTTTCCTGGGTCAAAAAGCAAGAGTTTTAGTTAGTCCGTCAGTTAACTTATCAAAAAATACTCTACACGTATTTTTCACTTTTTCAAACTAATGAAAATTTAAAGAGATAAAGCGCGCCAAAGTTCATAAGAGGCCCGTGACGTCAATGCGTGCATAAAAGTGCCGCACGTTGTGACGTCGTGCGGAACTTCAACGCACCATAACTATGTAATTATTTGTTAGATTGACAAATAAAAATATATGTGTCCAATATTTTTTGATATTAAACATTACGAACTAAAAAATTTTTTTCAGGAAACCCGCACTCCGCGGTACGCGGGACGACAGATTTAATCATTATATGCAAGTACCTCAATTTGTACAGAAAACACGCGCGGCACAACACACTGACAACGCGTTTGCGCGCGGGATTCGTTATATGTCGCCACGCGGACCGAGGCGGAGCGCGGTGCAGTGTGATAAATCGGCTAAGAGACAGTGGGCGGGGCTAACTCGTAGAACTATTCAATCAAAATCAAAAATATTTATTCAGTTTAAACCACAAGTGGCACTTATGGCTATAGGGGTAGTATGAGTAAAGTTCTCGAGTGACGCCGCAACGACCGATGAAACGTCGTAGTGTTGTTTAGCCGAGTAGACCGACAATCTGTCGAAGGTCGAAAGCACCTGATGCGGGCATGCAGTGCAGGACCGGCCGTTGTGGAAAGCCTTTGCTCAGCAGAAGACATTTTAAGTTGAAATGAAAGATTTGACGCAGGAAGACAACCACAGGAACACTCGTGACGTCACTAGCGGGTAGTGGCGGGTCGCGCGGGACCCTCGTGACGTCACACTCACCTCGCCACTCTCCCACGTGAGCTGCAGCGCCGCCAGCGCCCACAGCGGCCAGTCGGCGGCGGGGTAGTGGTGACGTCACTAGCGGGTAGTGGCGGGTCGCGCGGGACCCTCGTGACGTCACACTCACCTCGCCACTCTCCCACGTGAGCTGCAGCGCCGCCAGCGCCCACAGCGGCCAGTCGGCGGCGGGGTAGTGGTGACGTCACTAGCGGGTAGTGGCGGGTCGCGCGGGACCCTCGTGACGTCACACTCACCTCGCCACTCTCCCACGTGAGCTGCAGCGCCGCCAGCGCCCACAGCGGCCAGTCGGCGGCGGGGTAGTGGTGACGTCACTAGCGGGTAGTGGCGGGTCGCGCGGGACCCTCGTGACGTCACACTCACCTCGCCACTCTCCCACGTGAGCTGCAGCGCCGCCAGCGCCCACAGCGGCCAGTCGGCGGCGGGGTAGTGGTGACGTCACTAGCGGGTAGTGGCGGGTCGCGCGGGACCCTCGTGACGTCACACTCACCTCGCCACTCTCCCACGTGAGCTGCAGCGCCGCCAGCGCCCACAGCGGCCAGTCGGCGGCGGGGTAGTGGTGACGTCACTAGCGGGTAGTGGCGGGTCGCGCGGGACCCTCGTGACGTCACACTCACCTCGCCACTCTCCCACGTGAGCTGCAGCGCCGCCAGCGCCCACAGCGGCCAGTCGGCGGCGGGGTAGTGGTGACGTCACTAGCGGGTAGTGGCGGGTCGCGCGGGACCCTCGTGACGTCACACTCACCTCGCCACTCTCCCACGTGAGCTGCAGCGCCGCCAGCGCCCACAGCGGCCAGTCGGCGGCGGGGTAGTGGTGGCGCGCGAGGCGAGCGGCGGCGAGCGCGCGGGGGGCGCGGGGCCCGGCGCAGGCACACGACCACAGCGCTGTGGCGAGACGCAGGCCGCCACCGCACTCGGCTCGGGCCGCTAGGCACGATCGCGTCGCGTCCTGCCACAAACAAAAAAAATTTTTGGTCCTTCGAGCCGGATACGAATAAAGGAACTTTAATTTATACACAACGAGGAAGCTCCTGGCCTGTATCTCACCTGATGGTAAATGATGATACAGGCTGAAGGTGGAAGCGAGTTTCACCCGGAATTCTCAACCACGAGGGAACTGACAATCTTACCTCTAACTGCCGGAACATAACAATGCTGTTAACATTGTTGTTATGGCGACAGACTTAGGTAAGATGGTGGTAGCTAGCCAGGCGGACTTAGAACAAGCCCTACCACCAACCAAACCGAACAGAAAAATCTGCCCCCACTGGGAATCGAACCCGGGACCTCTGCGTCTGAAGCAGCTGGGCTTACCACCGAGGCGGTAACTTCTTCACATTATCACTGTGCAGGCTCATGTTCGTTCGTGAACTCTAACCAGCTATAGTCTGGACTGTGAGCACGTAGAATTTTGTCCAATGACCCCAAGCTACCCATCCTTATCGCTCGTGCGTAATTATGTTGCTATCGCGCTCGCACACTCACTGCGGGCGCCCGTCGCACAGTCGCGACAGCAATATAATTACGCGCAAGCGATAAGGATGGGTAGCTAGGGGTCATTGGACAAAATTCAACGTGCTCACAGACCGGTCTTTAAAAAACAACGCTTGTCTCACCATGGCCTCGTTAAGCAGGCCGAGGTACATGTACTGCAGCGCGAGGTAGTAGAAGGCGAGGTGGTCGTTGTCGTCCAGCGACACTGAGCGCAGCAGCAGCCGCAGGCTCGTCTCGTTGGCCGACTCTTTCTCGATACGAGAATTTGTCTTCTGCAAACATATTCATATGTTAGTAGGTGGTCGCCAAGGTGGACCGACGACCTGATAAGGGTAGCAGGAAGGCGCTGGATACAGGCCGCTACCAACCGTGCGATGTGGAAGTCATTGGGGGAGGCCTATGTTCAGCAGTGGACGTCCTGTGGCTGAAATGATGATGATGATGATGAGGTGGTCGCCCCTGCTACACTCCCTGGTGCAAAAGCCCACGCAGTGTAAATACCGAGGCAGAAAGGGAGGAGCTTAAATAATCTGTAGGCCTAGGATGCACGCCGCGATAAGAATTTATCGCACCATTTTATCGATTTTAAGATTTCATCACGGCGCGCATCGTAGCCCAGTTGGTCAAAGTCAAAGTCAAAAATTTATTTATTTGTTTAGACTAATAAATAGTTCTTACAAATCGTCATTTTGCTCTTAAGGAGCCTTTACATGTCTCATTATCTTTTTACCCTACCAGCGCTTCGAGACCAACATTTGGCAAGTGCTGAGAAGAAGCGCCGCAACAAACTCAGTCACCACTGTCTGCCGGTTAATATTAAAAACCATTTCATAGATTTTAAGATTTTATCACAGCGCGCATCGTAGCCCAGTTGGTGTTTGAATAAGTGTCAAAAGGCAAACACCAGTAGGCCTAGAATGCGTAAAAGCGATAAAGCACCGGTGGAGGCCGCGTACCGGAAAACGCAGCGTGGGACGTCCACCCACAAGGTGGACCGACGACATCATAAACGTAGCAGGAAGGCGCTGGACGCAGGCCGCTACCAACCGGGTAACATGGAAAGCATTGGAGGAGGTCTATGTTCAGCAGTGGATGTCCTATGGCTGAGATGATATAGCACCACCATGTGATGATGATATCCCTATTGAATTTCCAGTGTAACATTTTTTATTGGTTGCATCTAATTGTCACTGTGTGCACGTTTTTATTATAACTCACTTGCTAAAATAAACCTAGCTTTTTTTTTTATTCAATCCAACGATTTATTTCATCCTATTCTAAAGCCCGGTCTGTGAGCACGTAGAATTTTGTCTACGCGCTGTTTTACGCGCGAGCGATAAGGATCGGTAGCTTGGGGTCATTGGACAAAATTCTACGTGCTCGCAGACCAGACTATAGCGGCACCCACCTGTGCCCTCATTTGATGCCCGATGCCAGCATAGAGGCAGCAGCGCGGCAACATGGGCCCGTCGTCGCGTTCCTCTATCGCCAACGCCTCCTCCGCTAGTTCGATGCCTTCTTCTATCTGCGGGCAACGGGGCACTTAGCGATCGTGGAAAAAGTATTTTGAACCTTCTACACGACAGCAAATAAATCGCACCACCCGCGACAAGCACTTTCAAACGTATGCATCCCCACTTCACACCAATATTGGTACCATTCAAAAGCCTAGTTCTAAACTTCATTTTATTATAGGAAAGGTTTTTACCCCAAAAATGTTTCTTTAGAAGGATCCAGAGTCACTTCTTCAAAAAATAGATAGTTACGCTTGAGCCAACTTTTATAGCTATAAAACTGTTAAGTTGGGATTAATCGCTATCCATCTGTTAAAGAGGACACGTGTAATCATTATTTGGTTTTATAACCATAAAATTTGGTCTAATTGATCCCAGAGGTGAGCCCAAAGTGAGGTCTTTTTTACAAGCTTTTTATTACTTTCACATGTCTGGTGTCTGTCGTCAAATCTTGCAACTTAAAATTGACCCACTTCCCGGTTTCCTATTGAGCTGAAATTTTGCATACATGTGTAAGTCCGATGACAATGCAATATTATGGTACCATTGAGCTGGTCTGATGATGGAGTCGGGAGGTGGCCATAGGAACTCCTAAACAAAACGGCGGAAACTCATCGAGTTTGGGTTCGTTGGATTTGTCTTTTCGAGCACTTTAGTGTTAGATAACGTCCAGGGTCCTGAGATTAAGATATAACTAAAAAGTGTAAAATAAAATTATAATAAAAATAAACTTTTTTAAAAACAAGCTTTTATTCTGAATTTCGAAAGCTTGTAGCGCAAACAGAGAAAAAGAGGAATAAATTCCATGCGCGATACAAACTTTCGAAATTCAGAATAAAAGCTTGTTTTTAAAAAAGTTTATTTTTATTATAATTTTTTCAAGTCACATTATGGTATATGTTAATCATTTATTAAGAAATTAAATGTGTTTCTCTTTAAGGATATTTATTGGGCTTTCAAATAACACCAATATTGTTGGGGCACCATTATTGTGTCAAAAGAAAATCTTTAAAGTTCGCGTCGCGGGTGGTGCGATTTATTTGCTGTCGAGTGTTTATAGGACTTATGGTTGAATTTACATTGAATGCAATCGATATTTAGTAACACGGGGTGTGGTTTTATAAAACAAGGCGTAGAGGCAGCAGCGCGGCAGCATGGGCCCGTCGTCGCGCTCCTCTATCGCCAACGCCTCCTCCGCTAGTTCTTCTATCTGCGGGCAACCGGGGCACTTAGCGATAGTGGAAAAAGTATTTTGAACCTTCTATGTAGGACCAGGCCTGTTCATCTCCGCGAGTTTACATCGAAAACAAAACACGCACGATGGCCCACCTACAGGATACTATTCGACAAGGCCTCACATACCAGCGAACATTGACTCACGCACGCGTATTCTTATGTATGATGGAAGAAAATAAAGAAAATGGTGTACTAAATACTGTGCAGTATTTAACTGCCTAAATAATAATAAAAACAAAGAATGTACTTTTTTAAGTTGCCTCAAGACACTGCGAGGTAATTAAGTAGCTAATATTATTCATGATAATTTATGCTAAATCATGTAGGTATTTCCTCCGCCATTTTCCGCAGTTTGGCACCTCACATCACATCATTTTACCGAAGTCAGCCCTATAGCTTCGGCGCAGTGCCGATCACTGACGTTTGTCAACAAAATGGTGCTTGACTCTTGAGACAGGCTAAATTACACCATATTGTTAATGACATTGAGCATACATTTTTTTAAATACCTTCGCGAAGTAAAACTTCTGTACGTAGTACTTATTATTATTCTGTGGTATGACTTAAGGTTGAATTTACATTGAATGCAATCGATATTTGGTAACACGGGGTGTGGTTTTATAAAACAAGGCGTAGAGGCAGCAGCGCGGCAGCATGGGCCCGTCGTCGCGCTCCTCTATCGCCAGCGCCTCCTCCGATAGCTCGATGCTTTCTTCTATCTGCGGGCAACGGGGCACTTAGCGATCGTGCTCAAACCATTTTGAACCTTCTGTGTAGGACTTATGGTTGAATTTACTTTGAATGCAATCGATATTTGGTAACACAGGGTGTGGTTTTGTAAAACAACGCCCATCTCAGGGGTGGTAGTACACATGAAAGTAATTACAAGAAAAATAACCACACACCCTGTATGTTCTTTAAAAGAGTACGAAAAAGTTCTACGAGAAATACTCAAGCGAGTGCAAAGTCGCTAAAGACACGAGCCGCTGACATGACGTGATTATGTTTGAACCGCGAGTGACTGTAGAAAACTGAAGATCGTTACTCTTGTGGCAATTCCTTGATTGGAGTCACCAAAAATACTATTGCGGTGGAACAGATAACACAATACATAAAATTAACACAAAAGAGTACACTAAGGCTGCGTTTCCACCAGAGATGTGCGAGGATGCGTAGCGAGGGATGTGTTTGTAAAGAAGCTTTGGTGGAAACGGCTTAGCGGAGCTAGATTTTTGCGCATACGAGTAAAAAACAAGCGAGGGATGTGTGCGAGGAATGTGTTGCGAGATTTGCGCATACTGTATCAGCAAGTCCATAAACGGAGTTTGGAAGTAGCAGGCAACGCATCCTCGCACCACACATTTTCCTCGCACAGCTTTGGTGAAAACCCCCACACATTTTCACAGCACTTAGTCATCCTCGCACGACAAATTTCCCTCGCACATCTCTAGTGGAAACGCAGCCTAAAAGAACTTACCCAGCCCATATTATAACAGGTGTTGGCGGCGACTAACCGCAGCGGAGCGTCATCGGGCGAGAGCGGCGCAGCACATTTCATCACCGTATGCGCTCGGATGCCCGCGCCCCACGCACTGCTGCCTGGGAATAAATTCGGCTGTCATAGAGAAACCAGCAGACAATGTCTGATTGAACTGAGGTTCGGCTTCGGCCAAAACACTGTTGAAGATTGGACCCAATTTCATAGACAGCCGACATTGACGAGATTATTTCTTCCCATCTTTCATTCCCATAGTTTCAACTCCTGTGTGATCAGGGTTTACAGTTTGACAGCCAATAAATTCCCAATCAGTGAAGGTCAAGTTAGTCCTGGGGCTCCCGCTAAAGTTAAACTGTCATTGAACCCGCAACGAAATTAACCAGAAGAACTTAGGAGAGTTCAAAGTCAAGGTTCGACGTTAGAAGTGTAACCGGTGTCTTTTGTATGGAATTTGGCAGACTTTTGACGTTTGTTAGCCTAGCCGCAAACCACAGATTTTTTGTCGGCCAATAGTTAGGTTGGGCTATTAATCAGTATGGACATGTATGAAAGTGCGCGTTACATTCGTGGTTGGGCCCGATTCCAATTTTTATAGTCTTAAGGGTGTCTTAGAGCGCTTTCACATTTAGGCGATTTAGCAGCGCGACAGACGTGCTGCGGAAAATTTCATACTATGTGACAGCGGATGCGTGCCCTCACATTATAAAAACGCCGCTGCGCCGCTGCTGTCGCGCTTTTAACGCCTTAATGTGAAAGCGCTCATAAAGTTAAAATAAAGTGATGTTGCCCTAAGGCTGGGGAATAATGGAGAAGTTTCGTGATGTTGACAACATTAGATTTCACTGAATGTGATTAAAATATAGGCCAAAACTACCCGTTCAAGTTTCAATCACAATGCTTACCACCCCTAACGCATTGTCGAGAATGACACTATAATGTCAGTCTTCTTTTTCTTTATAAATATGGTCAGGTCTTGGATATGTCAAAAAAGGTTACATAATTTTACTAAGAAAGAATCTTGAGTGACCCTGGCTGAAAAATTAACAACAACTAGATTTAAAAAAAATTGGATCTGTCAATAGCACTGGACCAGGGGTGATTTACTGTTTGTACTGCGAATGACTGTCATGACGAATATTTTTATGCGCAACTTTAGGGCCCTGTAACTTTTGTATTTGTAGAGATATTTTCATGATTCTTTCACAGTTATTATTTTAATTATATTTTCAAGATTTATTAAAAGAAAAAAAAATGGAAACTCGTCCATTGTGTGTGGTGTTGTGTACTTATGTTCGTACCTGGCACGAGGTGCTGCTGGGCGCGCGCGGGCGCGGGCGCGGGCGCGGCGGCGGCGGTGGCGAGCGCGCGCTGCCGCCACACGTGCGCGCACCCGAACGAGAACTTCATCGCGCGCTCCAGCGACTGAAGCAAGCGAGGGCGTTAAACCACACATAAATGTAAAAGTAACCTTAGTTCGCTAGCAACTACTGTTACCGCGATGGAACTTTACTTTCATTTTACTGCTGGAAAAACTAATGGATTCAGGTATCCGCGGATTGGCATATGATTGGTTCAAATCTTATTTACACAACAGAAAGCAATTAGTACAAATAGAGCATTACGACCATACAACAAATGAAATATCAAAAATTAGATCTGAAGAAAAACAGTTAACTAGTTCAATACCGCAGGGCAGCATATTAGGATGCGCACTTTTTCTCATTTATATTAATGACCTTCCGAAGCATTTACGTGGAGATTCAATTACACCTATTTTATTCGCCGACGACCTGTCCATACTAATCAAATGCAACAGCGACACTGATCCAAAGACTCTTATCCATAATACACTCCAAAATGTCACCAATTGGCTGGAACATCATAATTTGGAAATTAACTTCGGAAAATCAAAACTTGTGCAATTTCGATCATATAACAAACCACCCATAGATACAAATATCCACTTTAAAAACACCCAAATAGAAACAGTAGAATCATATAAATTGCTTGGACTTAATGTAGATACGCATTTGCATTGGAAATCCCACATATCCAAACTTTCAAAATTCACCTATGCACTTTACAAAATATACCAAAGTACAAATTTAAAAACCGCGCTCTCAACATATTACGCCTACGCCTACTCTTGGCTAAAATATGGAGTTATTCTCTGGGGTAACAGTGTAAATGCAAACGATATATTTATGTTACAAAAAAAAATGTGTTAGGATTCTAGCCCGAATTGACAATAGACAAAGCTGCCGACCTTATTTTGTAAAATTTAAATTATTAACATTAACTTCAATTTATATTAGGGACATGTGTATTTTTGTTTTCAATAACAAGAATCTTTTCACACAAATTAAAGAAAGCATTACGTAAATACCAGACATAAAGAAAGGCTATACTTACCACCTTCCAGAATCAAAATGCTCAATTGTAGTCCTTTTTATATGGCAGTAAATTTTTTTAATAAAATACCAAAACATATAAAACTGGAAAATAAATTAAGACCGTTTAATAATAAACTTCAAGACTATTTAATCTCAAACTGCTTTTACTCACTTGATGAATTTTTTAATTATCGCGACAACAATAATCATATGACGTCTGTAAATTATACTATAATTTAGATTGTAACTGTTTTATTTTATGGATGGATAAATGCCTAATTTTATTGTTTACAAATCACATATACCTCTATGAGGTAGCAATGTAACATTCTGAACATCTTGTACCTACTACCCTTTTTGTTGGAACTTATGTATCATTGCGAAGTGAATAAATAAATGAATATGAATATGAACTTAGCTGCCTGATACGTGAAGTTTCTATTACTTATTTATTTACTTTTTTTATTTTTAAAACTATTTTAATTTGAAAACCAACAGAAATACAAATAATGAAACCTAAACTTATGTTCTGCTTAGGGGCTGTTCAAGTATTACGTAAGCAGATTTCTTACCATTTTTTACCCCCCCTTGTCATCAAAAGTAAGCAAAGCACTTACCCCCTCCCCCTATGCTTACGTAAACATTTTTAGTTATAATTTTTTTTTATTGTCATTTTTAAAATAGGAAAATTCATAAAAATATTAGGTTTAGGTAACTGATACACACAGAGTAAGAGACAAAAAAATATAATCAGAAATAAAGAACATAACAAACATAATTGCATCAATATGCATCAACATAAACACAAATGATAACTTTCAATACTTACAATACGTTTAGTATCCAAACAAAACACGCGCGCGGAAGGCCGCGTGTTTTGATGATATGCGGACTACGACTCTCTTTCAATGGGCAATGTCGGCACGAGAGTTAATTATTAGACAAGTGAATAGCGCACGGTAATTTTCCTAATGTGCGGTAGTTCCCCTAATCAGTTCTCAAAGCGAGTGCCTACGCATATTATTATGTATTATTTGCGGGAATCTCCGAAAAAACGTAAATAAGTAACAATGACGTAATCATCATCTAGACCTCCCTACCCCCCATGTCATCCAAAATAAGCAAAACAGCGACCCCCCCACCCCCCTTGGTTTTTACGTAATACTTGAAGGCCCCTTAGCCATTTATAGGAAATCGCAAGCTACACACGCAAGACCTGTGTTTAGCTGCACGCTTTCCCCGCGAAGATTTCAATGTTCTCTCACGCCTTGGTGTTACTGCTTTATCAGAANTGACGAGGTATAGGTGTACCAGAATCTCATGGCAAATGGGGAAAATAAACTTTGTTGAGTGCAATACTGGGGAAATTGGATTAAACGATCTTGATACTGTTTAATTTTTTATTTATGACTAATATTAATATAACATAAAGTACGAATGCCTACCTATACATTTTAGGTGTGTGTATGAAGAATGTTGTTATAGCTACATCGGGTTTTTAACATAGGAGTATGTCTTGAAAAATAAGTAAACCGTGTATTACTGTAAATAATTTTATTAAGTATCATACTTGTAACTTATCATTTCATTCAGAACTAGAAAACGATTCTAAGAACTCCACTTGCATTTCTTATTCTTCAATAGATGATCAAGTTAAAGAGGCATTTTTTATCTTTCAGCATTTCAATTACTCAAACTTGCTTGATGAAATCTTTTTCAATTTTCTTTACATGATCATAACATTTTCACCATTCCTCTGCACCAATGTATGAAGTACACCTGAAAACCCCGATAAAGCAGCTATTAGGTAAGAATAATATAAAAATAAACATAACCCTCTGTTAGAATAAATGGAACGCAACCATTTTATATTGTGTATGTTGGCAATACGGAAATCCGTTTAGTTTTTTTCATGTTGACACTACTGTTACTGCCATTTTGAACTCTGTGATTTGTGTGCGCTCTAAACCGAATAGAAAGTTATTAATCTCAATATTTCTTTTATTTACCACAAAAGCTACAATTCCTTCATGGTAGCAGAGCGTGGTTGTGG